CCTCCTTTCCCGCAGCGTGTCAGCGCGGCCGCGGTCGAAGATGGAAAACCGAGGAGCGCCAGGCTCGCGGGCAGCAGTCGGCACCAGATCAACAATTTGCCTCGCAGCCGGGGATACATCCCTGCCTCCCCCCGACCGCCACAGAAAACCCACACCCGGAGCCGGGCTGGGGGCAGCCTTGCCAAAAAAAAAACCCAAAAAAAGAGGTGAGAAGAAAGCAGCGAGCCCACAAGCAGCAAAATGCTGGCAGGGAAGAGGGGGAAAGTTGTTCGGCGGAGGGTTTCCAGGGATGCCCTGGCAGATGGGGAAGCCGCAGCACCTGTGTGATCCCCTCTCTGATTTTTTCTAGCTCCGTGGCAAGGACCCCCATCGTGGTGGCGGCCATTTGGGCCGTCCTCCCTGCTGGAAGCACTGTTTTCTCTGGCTTTGCTCCGCTGCACGAGACGCCTAAAATGCCCCAAAATTCCACGAAGGGGGAAATTAAATCCCCGTCTCCTCACTGAAGCCCAGGGCCTGTGGGGAAAAGGCATTGCAAAGCCCCTGGGGACAGACCCTCGGAGAAAAAGGTGCGGCGGTGGGGTGTGCGGCAGTGTTGTAATTCAGGTAATCACCCCGGGAGCGACCGTGCCGCCGTGGGGAGCCAACGCAGCCGCCCCGGCGGGTGCCCTTCCTCGTAGCCCTGCTTCAGTAGCCGGTCGCAGGCACCCAGGTAGCTCAGGAACTGCAGAAGAAGACAACCAGGGTTAATACATCCTCGCAGACATGGGGTGCAAGTGCATTCAGGAGCCCACCTTGCCACTTTCCAGGGACATGATCGTGGGGAGGACCTGTGGCACAACGGTCCTGCTGGCTCCCCTCTGATGCTTGCCGTGTGCTGAACAGACACCGGGCACGGGCAGGAGCACGGCGCCGGGGTTGGTGCTGTCAGTCGCAGATGGTGAATTTAGGAGGTCGGGGACCCCCTGGTCCTCGCAGGAGGGCGAGGCGGGGCTGTGGCTCAAACCCCGGTGCTGGAGCTCAGGGTGGACATTGGCCACGGCCAACGCTCTCCCTGAATACCGGGCTCGGGTCAGCCCCGGGGGCTCCAGCACGATACCTGTCGGATGTGTATTTTTGCAATTTTTAAAAGCTTTTTACGTTTTTCTTTTCGATTCAGGCACGCCCCGTATCGCAGCCCTGCAAAGAAACCCAACCCGCGGTTACAAACCTCTGCTTCTGCCTGTACCCCCCGCTCCCTGCCTGCGCCCTCCCTGCCCCCAAATTTGCTGCCTGGCTCTCAGCTCTGCTGGAGGAGAACCCCAAATCCGAGAGCTGCCTCGCAGCGGCGAAAAGGCTTTGAAAAC